TGTTGTATTTGGCCACGGAAGGAATAGTTGCGAGCGTTCAGCAAGGTAGACGAGGTCGAGGAGATCCATTGTTGTTGTTCTGATCGTGCGCTCGAATCCGCTGTTGTTTTGATCGAAATTTGGATCGCTTGATAACTACTCAGTGTTCACTGAGTTCTTCGACTGATGCTTGAGTTGAAAGATAATCGCTTCGAAGGCAGATTTGAAATTATCGCTGAAATGGTATTGTGGACAACCGTTTCCGGTGGTCTTTCTGTAGTTGTCCCCCACACCTAGAGAATCCGGCTCGTAGCAGAGCATGCCCCGTGTCCACCGGTATTCACCAGTAAAAGCGGCAGTCATCAACGGATCCTTTCCAGTGGTAGCTGATGGCGAGGTGGTCGATTTGAGTCTATCTCTGTGAGGGGCTCGGCATCTTCTATGTAAAGCGGTGTCCTTTCTCGTGCGAGGAGTTTGTGTTTGATAAGAATAGTCCATGGTCAGTACAGTTGAAGAAAGCATTCTCCGTTATTCTTCCAGTCCGCTGGGACTGTGCCACCAAGAAGCCTTTCTGGTTCGTCTAAAAATCCCATTCGAGTATTATAGTCTCCAGCGACTACAATGACGTCCGCTGGTCGACCTTTTTGGAACAGTTGAGGGAAGGTTTTCTAGGTAGTGGTGGCGCAGTGGTTTAGTCGCTATCACCGCCATGCTTTGCACCCTATGGTTCGAGGTTTTGGATCTTCCGCTACCACGCTTTGCTATCGAGCATGTCAATACCACGCCAAATCTATTGAGGCCTTGTGCAGTTTGCCACTCCAAGTTCCGGGGCTTAGGTTACCGGTTCCCATCAATGCACAACAGGTCCTCAAGGTTATGGGGTTTACTGCGCCTGCTGTTCATCCCACTAAGTCTAATACAAAAGAATTCGTTTTTCACTAATTGCAATCAGTCGGTGCATATACGGATGCGACGAATAGGCACTGACGCTTCGTTCAGTGGCTGTTGATCCGTAGATCGTACAGTCGGCTGCTGACCGGAATCAAATTAAAAAGTGAAAGTGGGGCCCTGAAACTTGGCTCAATCCCGACACCAGTAATACCGCGAACATCGGATGCCGAATCGCTCGGAACACAGAGTGAAATCTGAAGATGAGGTCGGTTATGTGTATCGCAAGGTGAACATTGAAGTAGGGTTTTGTGTGAGTGTTTCGGAGACAGCATACATCTAAATTGAAAGTTCCAAGCATTCTAGTTAAGGCAAGTTAATGGCCGATCTGAGTGTGTGAACATTAAATGTGGTTAAGTAAATAGATTTTGGTCTGAAAAATCTGTTAGCTTCTGATTGGTTGGTCTTGCTAGTTGAACGCCGAGTGATATCCGATGAGTGGTGCAAACAGGAGGTATCTCGTAAGATTTGGGAGTGAGAGGAACAACTGAAAAGATGATAGAGGGTTTTCCAAGTGGTTAACTAGGACTTTGGGGCACGATATATTTCGCGGTAGCTCACACCGACGAAGGGTTTTTCTATGGGAGCTCTAACCGGAGCCTTTGACTCCGTCTAACGCAAAAGGAAGTGGAGAGCAGATCCAAAGAGGGAGCGTAAGTGAAGCATTCGTCCAGAAGCTTCTAGGGACTCGTCACGCAAGATTCGATTCAGTGTACTGGAATCTAGTGCGTCAATTGTCGGTGCACTTCGAGATTAGCTCCTAATCTTATGTAACCAATGAGACAAACGGAACATGGACGGGACAGTGCCTTATTGGCTGAGCGTGCCCAGCTTGGGCGGACGATAGCTGTTCAATGCATTGCAGACTTTGTTACCATCGGAAGGAAGCTTTAGGTACCCTGATCCACCTCGCTCTACGATACAGACTTGGACATTACGGGAAACGCATGAAAATAGATTTTCGGTATTCGAACACCGCTGTCTACGCCGCATTGCACGAGTCTGGTGGGGAAACCGAACAACCAAGGCTGAGGTGAGGAGCAGTTTTAGAAAATCACAAACGTTGACTAGTGGAACAAATGGTCGACCTTCATGGATTCGGTTCGTAAAACCACGCACTGACCTCCATAGATTACGCTGGTTGGGACGTGTTGTGCATGTCACCAAATAGGTTCCCACAGTGTAGGAGACAAGAAGTAGATAGAAAAAGTTCAAGGGCGGTTAAACTAAGACCTGACAAGAGGGCATGAAAGCCTGACCAGGACACTGGGGCACTTGGGTACCGTTAGGCTCCCTGGATGGAGACCCCAAGGTCATGGCAATCGGTTAGAAACACTGAGTGATACGGCTTATACAAAGTGGCACTGGTGCATCTACTCATTATTCTTACAACCCCACACCATATGAATTCTCTATTTTTTCTTTGACTCTGCTCTCAAGATTTCAATCCTTTTTCTGCACTCTTATCCAAATGAGCAGCCAGGACAGCAACAAAAACCAGTGCATAGTCAATGGTTGGAAAAACTGAACAGAACTAAACTTTAAATCAAGCTTTACTCCAGCCTCCAATACAATACCAATATTTTGGAGACCACTTAGTACGTTTTCCAGCATTTCATTAACGATGAAATTGAACATGGATGGCGAGATAGGACACTCTTGATTAACACCGCTGCAAGTGACGAACGAGCTACTTAGTTCGTTAAAAACTCTCATTCGACTAGAAGTATGGGTACAGTAAACTCAATGAGTCCACATTCTTCTGGGGTGTTACTTTTCGAAGGGAGCCGAACCAAGCCTGGGTATTCAACCTAGCTAAAAGTTCCTCCCAGATCAAGGAACACTGCGACCTTCAGATGAAGACAGATGAGGTAACTGGAGAACTTGATGCAATATAAACGTGATTAACACCCGCGACCAGATAAGTATTTGGCTTGCTGTTCGCTGACACTCGTATCCCTTTGGGATGCCAGTCACCAAAGTATGACAGAGCCTAGTTTGGTGGCGATTAGTGTTAAACTGACCCCGCGGTGGTCTACGCAGTTGTGATTCTTTCTTAAAAAAAAGGTAAGATCAGTTGTTCACCACAATATGCTGTTGTGTTCCTGTGACCGGCTGTTACGCAGGAAATCGGTGATGGAGTCTACGAGGTCATCATCTCACAGTTTGAAAAGGTTGGGAAGAAAGTTATGTCCTCATACTTTTCCTCTCTTCAGAGCTTGAATGCCAGAGTGAGCTTCTGATTCTGTCAGAGAATTACACGGCACTGCCCACAGTGCTTTAACTGCAACAGTTGTGGTAATTCACCAGAGCCAGCACAGTTGAGATGTTCACTGAAATACCCCGTCCTATAGTAAAACCGTCGTTCACTTTTACAAGGTTTGTTTCCTTCTCTCAAATTGTCCACAAACTGAATTCAACCGACTTCCTGCGTTGTGTATTAGGTAGATGCAGGCGCCACTCGTTTACTAAATACTGTGGTCGACCAGTTTTCACGGGCCTTCTTGAGGCTCCCTGTGAGCTGATGTTGCAGACTCCTGTTATTCCGGTTTTGATCCTGGTCGGTCAGTATTTGTCGTTTCTTCTCCTTCAAGGTTATCGACTTGTGATTCGGACGGATTTTCGAGTTAGATACACAGGCGAGTCCATTGCAGAGCTCATTGCTCATTTAGTCTGATTCTACACCACCGCGTGGTTATGCGCTTAGCACACACCTTAGTTCTAGCATAACGAGCACGAATGAATAGGTCAGACAAGCGATGATAGGCTGACCAAGTTTGCTGGCTTCGTCAGTGACCAGTGTGCATTACACCTACTGATGCATGATCAGATTCAACGCATGACTAACTATTTCAGGAGATTTTTGAACGAAGATGAAAAGCGACAATTCCGTCAGAGAACGAGCGAGACGTTCAGAGAATGAAAGAAATTCGAGTAATCTAGGGGGCAGGGTCTATATAACACAAAAGAATGGTAGAATAGTAATAAAAGTGGTGGCGGGGTTGGCAGTTATTGATGCAACACCAACAATTGGATAATGTTCGATTTTCTGGTCGGGTAAAAAGACTGTTGTGGTACTTAACGGATATTGCTTAGCGTATACAAAGGATGCTTTGGCTTCTTTTAAAAATTTACACTTAGTTTAGCAATTCATTCGTAAGTCCATTCTTGAATCATGTAGTCGGTAAAGATTAGGCCATCTGGCCCCTAAAGAAAAAAGCTGAAACGGACATGTTTGCAAAAGGTTTCACCTTGCTCTTAGTCAGCATACAGCGAAATACAGGGCAGAGAACCTTGGTGGTCTCTGCCAAGCTCATAATGCACACAAAGTGGATTCCACGTGGACCCCGGTTAGAGGGATGGGGATACCACAGACGTCTATGGTAAATAAAGAGTACAATTACAATACAGTTGAATTGTTTATGAGCGTGTATACACCTTTTCAAGTATCCTGACCTGATAATGAACGACAAGAACTGCCCTGTTGTCTGTTTATTGCCAAGGCCCTGAGTTACCAAGCTGCCAGGTAGAGTCCTTTGGACCCCAATCTGAAAAATGAGACACTTAACGAGTCCAGTCGTTCTTATTTTGCTTATACATCTAAGTGTTACAATCTATTTCTTTTAGTGCACGATAAATATTGGATAAAATCAAGATGCACTACCCAGACTACCTCGGAGCGACGTCCCTCATTACTATTCAGAAATTGAGGAACGTTTGCTGTTCAACGGAATTACCCAGAACACGGGTGCGTTCGACAGCACCTTTCGAATTATGCACTGCATCCCAAAGCAAAAATTTCACCAGAGAATTACTGAGTACAACGGTCTTCTACCCTTGTGTATGCAGTTATGCAAAGAAGCTAGCCTTGAGTAGGGAGGAAACCGTGAACATGGCATAAATAGCGATATGAGGGACGCATGATAACACTTCCTATAAAATAAGTTAAACAGATTATACAGGATTAACTGAAGTAAAGCTACCATGCGATGTTCAAAATGCAAAGTGAAAACCGTGTGCGTTCGAACGAAAAAGCCAGGGACAGGTTACTGCCATGACATATAACACCTCACCTTATTCGTGGTATATCCGTCCCAAACAATCAATTTGCCATCTTGAGATGCAGAGACCAAGTTACGCGAATCAGAACACCAATGCATTGCGTATATTTTCGCCAGGTGACCTCGCAGTGTGCGTCGAGTTCGGAGCTGAATTCGATTGACAACCTCTATATTAGCCGTAGCATGGGCCAGTGTTGTGTCGGCCGCANCGGGCCTCCTGTCATGACAAATAGTGACGCTATAAAATCAACATACGCGTATTTGGTTTTTCAACTGCTCTGTTTCCTGACGCAATTGATCAAGTTCACCCATCGTGACTAGGTTTATCCACTAAAATCAGTAATAAAACTCCAGCGACGACGTAAACCCGGCAACACCAAGCATATAGGTCCCGAGCCACAGGTAGGGAGCGGGCCCTAAGAGGCGCAAGGCGATGGTGGGAAAATTTACTCTTTAGTGCGTTCAAACAACGGCATGTAATTTTCCAAAGCAAGTTAAATTCAAATTCGAGGCCCCGAGAAGGCCTTTGTCTGTATAGTATTGCAACCTCGAAGTATAAACCCGTTTTGATTCTTAGTCCCAATGATCTTCATATAAAGTCTTGTATCAGTTGTTGAATCAAGGGGATATCATAACTCCAAAGTTCCTTGTAAGATTTCTTTCGCTTTTATTTTTTCCAAGAGTATCCGGTAGACCTGACCGACAGTTACCCCCAGGTAAACTTTTTTATTTCGTTGAATTTTTAAATAAATTTTACATGGAAAATTTTCCCGTTAAATATACAACTCAAAAATGTATAACGTACGTTATACCTAATTACCTCAATTTGTTAAGATGTCTAATCATTTTTGTGCGCTAAATATGTCACACCCGTCGCGGATGCGGTCCTTTTTTACCACAAATTCGAGGAGGATCTTGTGTTGAATATCTACAAGACCGGAAATTGTTGGCAAAACATCGTGATTGTGTCTGCGGTCACGATATTACCTACAGAAGTCGGCCAAGGCACTCCATGGATTTCTTTTCCACTGCGGTCGGATTCATCAACCAGGCGACAGGAGTCCACAACGACAACGTGGAAGGCTACTAGAGCCGGATAAAGAGGAGACTGTGTAGGAACTAGGTTATCGGTACCCCGGGCTAATACATATAGGTCGCAAACGTACGTTCGTACGAGGAGAGAACGAGACGATTCACGAAACGGAGGACGACGTGTATATAAAGGGCTGGGAGCAGGAGAGAGATACAGAGTCGTGAGCAAGCTTGCGGAAAGTGAAAGCAAACACGTGCTGACCGAAGAGGTGGCCTTGGTGTGATAAAACAATGAGATGCGCAGGAGGAAATGTACATTGAGAACGGGATGTGATTGGTTACTATAACCGTATGCAGTTTCCGGCTCCGTTAGTGATAGAAGTGGAAACATCTGGACGAAATTCAGTACGGCTACTGGTTTCACATTTCGCCCTCTAACATTGAAATGGATATCGAAACCTTTTGCAGCATATCATTGAGCGTTTTCCCATCGATTAATGTGCCCATACATATTTAAGTCGTATTATTTTCATTTATTACATTTTTATAGAAGGTTTCTCTTATTTTATTCATGGAAATGTTATATAACCGCGATCATGCTACTAATGGTTATTCAGTTTTTTATTGCAATTTTAGCCTGCGGGGTAACGGTCGATCAGGTCAAACGAGTATCATTCATTTGATAGAAAACTTGGAACACAATATTTAGCATCTATCCGCAAAGAACCAGAAGCAATATCAGTGAAATATGTGACAGTGATGATTGGACGAAAAAAGGAGCAATCCACGGAGACGTTTTCCGTTCATATTTTCTTCATAATCAACTCAGACTCCAACTGTGATACTTCTTTGTTTTCTTTCTGCTTGTTTTACCGAGCACGGTTTTTCGCTCAGGTATATAAAAGCTGGGTCCTGTTCAAATCCACGCAACACGTGTGATACGCTTTCGCTTTGCTACTGCATTTATTGCTTGCGTTGTTTAGCGTCACCTCGGTACACATTCGGTACTATCTAGTACCACGATTCGCCAATAAACTTCTACGCCTCTCACGAGTGTTTTTGTTTACCTCAGGCAACAAGATTCTAGGGGTTCGTGCGCAATTTGAGATTCGTAAGAAGACTTATCTGCAGGCCTTCAACGCCGGTTAGCTTCTTGCTTTTGTAGTGACGCAGACTATCTCTCACTCTACATGTAACTTTTTCCCGCATCTCATTGTTTTACCGCAACAAGGCTACTCTTTTATCAGCGCGTATTTACTTTCATTTTCTGCATGCTTGCCTATGCTTCCATATCTCATGTTTTGGCTTTGCAGGCTTGCAAAATGGAATTGTCGTGCGTCGTGTAAGGTGTTTTGTTCGGTTTTCTTACGAACGCTCTTTTGTGAGATAGCTGTATTTCCGGCAGTGCAGCAACATCCCAACTGTGTCATCTTCAAATACTGACCGATTTCTAAATTAGTTTCACGAGAGGGTGTGCTAAACTAGGGTCAAACTGAACTTATCTCGATTTTGAAGAAGTTTCTGTCGTTTGTTCAAATTTAGGCTTGGTTACAGCGGTTAACGGGCATTACCACTGGTGATAATTTGCCGTTGGGTGCTTGTTTATCGATATGAGGCGCGCAGCATCCAAAGGCGGCGTTATTAAAAAATTCAAAAGTTATTTGATCGATCCCCAATAAAAAAAACCGTATAAATTTTTCAAACTGGTGAAATCCGTCGCCCAAAACCATTTAGTTCATCAGATATTTCACCGCCGTGCTAGATGTCTTGAGTGGCAAACGAAAACATAAAACTGCAGCTTTATATTAGATAAATTAAAATTTATAAAAATCATTGTTTCTCATCATTAGGATTTCGACCCTCCATATAACTGTCCTAAACTATTCATTTTATAATTCTATAGAACCCAATAACGACATTCGCGAACTCGAAATGAGTCAATAATATTGGCTTGGTCCTGGAAAGGGCCTTTAGCAGAATCTATGTTCCAAAATAGACACTTTCTGTTGGTTTTCCGTACTAACTCATCAAACTTGTATTTGTGTAACTTGTGTAAGCATATATGACTATATTTCGTTTAAAAATGTATACTGTTCGTCACGCGGAATGCAATAATAATGATAATAAAATATGACACGAAAGGTAAAGAATGTTGCTGAAATTTTTTTCATGTTGAAAACCTTTGAAGTATTCCACTTGCAATCTGTTTTCTTTTTTGGTAAGGAGTCGGGCTAGTTAGGGTACTGGGGAATTTTTATTTCTGTTAATAGGAGAGGGTAGACGCCGAAATGTGGAACGTGTGAACGGATCGGAATGACAAAATGATAGATCAGGGTGTAGTGGATGAAGAGGAACTTCTAGAATACTATGAGCAAATTTAACAAAAGATTTGATGTGACCACCAATGAGTTTTGTGATTAATTAACCGATCGGAATTATTGAGGCACGACTGATGATCATCAAACCACGACGAATTGTTTATAATTGATCCATGACGAGATTGGTAAAAGATTTCCATGTGCCTCCTCAGTGATTTCAAAAACGATGAGATAATTCTAGCGTTATGGATAAGCAGGGTTGCCTTTGGACAAGTTAAAGATCAATTTAATCGTTTCAGTGAATAGACTGACACGTTTAAAAGCGATGGACAAGATGCAAACCAAAACTGAACTACCACAACAGAACGGTTGAGAAGAGAAACACGATTAGGTGAAAAGTCTACTAGATGAAACTGTATCTGAGTGGAACGTATGGATGTTTGATAAGCAGAGCGAGAGTATATCTTTGTTTTAACAATAAGAATACTATGGCCACTCGTAGAAACCTGAGCCAGAGAGAGAATATGTTGGGATACTTTGTGATCATTGTGTCCACCACATAACTACCTCTGATAGAAGAACGAGAGTGGTCAGAAAGATCAAACAGAATCAGGGGAGAAATACTTGCATGATGGAAATCACCAACATATAAATGAACATTTTCATCTAATAATGAAACAAGAAACGGGATGTAGGAATCAGAGAAAGCAGAACTTTTGGTCTGAGAACACGAGGGAGATTTACACAGTAATGATGATTGTACTATTGTGACGGGAAAATTTAGGGTGAAAACGAACAGATAAACAGTCAGAATATTTTTCAGAATAGTTATATATCACTTCTGATTTCCCGCACCAGGAAACTTTGATGTAAGTAGCAACGCCGCCTCCGGTTTTTCCTACTTCGCTGTCTATTCTGCCGGCAGCAATCAAAGCCTTCTATTTGCACGAGCACGTACTCAATGTTTTGATTCAGCCAGGTTTCTTGTACAACACGTGTTGGAATTATTGCTTGTGTTCAGAATGGAGGTATATCCGAGATCTTCGCAAATAGCGAGCGAACATTACTGCTGACCACTGATGGTACAGTCATCTTAGTAAGTGGGGTGCAAGTAAGTGCAGTTTGCTATCCGGCCCGTCTGTATGATTTGATCCCAAGGCTTTTAGGACTCTCACCAAGCAAATGATTAGCAGTTAGCACAGAATTCCCAGGTTTCAGCCGTAGTATGTCATGACGAGAATATTTATAGATCCTAGAAATGATTACCACCGAGACATGGGTGAAACAAACGCGATAAATTCCAGCGTGCTATACGGATTATCGAGGGTGCATCGCAACTGCAACCATATGATTAAGGCTCTTATTTATAATGTATTTCACCCATTTTAAGCCGGAAAATACCGACTGCTAGGCATTCGTTAGGATTTGTGTCGAGTGATAAAACGTTCCAATGCACGTACGACTCTCCTGTGTGGTTCCGCGGGGTTTGTATACAAGTAATCATCGTCTGTTGAGAGAACAAGAATAGCTGTCTTCAGGTCGTGAAGTCTTTCTCGGATTTGAGGCTAGCACCCAATGATCCCGGATCCTTGATGGTTTAGTGTTTTCTGTTCGTGGACGATGCTACTGTAAAATAATAAAATCCTTGAGGGGCAATATATCGTTTTGTTCGGGGAATAGCGATGCTAGTTATTCTGGTAACATTATCAATAAACGTAACAATGTGCGATATCAAATGGACAAAAGCATAACTGCATGAAAAAGGGCAACAGCATTGTTTTTTTGTTTTGTTTTGTATTTATTTGTTGGGGGAGGCTTAGGAGTATGCAAGTAGACCTAGACAATTATCAGTCGAGACTTGAATGAATCTTTGGTTGTTGAAGAGACTATCTCTTCTGGCCATACTTTGCAGTGTGAAATTACCCTGAAAGCGAATAAAGATGTTCAAATGGTAGTGCGGAGTTAAGGTTTATATAACTTTTTGCTATTACCCCTAGTTCCGCTCATTGGGGCTAGAGTGAAAAACTTACCTAGTAGGCCCGAGGAGAACAGGTGGTGCAGAAGAAATAAGTCACCTTTAATTCACCTGACTTCTAGAGGATTCAGTCAGAGTTCTGTTACTCGGTCAGGGTAGGGTATGCGTTGCAATCCAACCATCGCTTTTGTTGCCGATCTTTGAACTTGTTAAAGAGTATCACGATTACGGATCAGGTCGGGATGAACAACTTGACTAACCTATTCTAGAAGAAGATGGATAAACGAATCCCAAAACAAAACATGATTGATTCGCAGTGTTCTCCGGTACTGATTTAGGTAAATCACAACAAAATGTACAATAGAGCAAACGTCACATTTGCGGCCAAAAGCATTCAAGCAAGCGAGAGTCAAATAAGATGTCCAGAGAGAGCGGACACGTCGTTCATGTTCCATGACCGCGCCAAATTGAAATGTAGTGGGAATCAAATCAACAGACAAAGAATAATGTAGTTTGCTTTTGATTGTGGAAGATCAATAAAGCAGCAACGCACGGATAGAGCTTTGCCACCTAGAATCATCGTGGGTTTGGAAGGATTTTCAAAAATAACTCTTCTTGCGCTCGTCTGTGTCAAAGGTTTGGCGCCTAATGCGAGACCACTGTTTTTAACTCTCCTTATTTCCCCTTTTTCGATCCTATGTGCACACGTTCTTTTCAGTCATTCCTGATTTGACCTTGGTGTTAGTCACTGTCCATGATTGTTTGATGAATGAATCTCATGCACAATGTCCTTGTGTGTCTACTTATCGATCCCACCCATGTCATTGTCCTCTGCACTAACGCGGTCTTGGCATGTGACTGCCTGANGCCTGATCCCTATATGCTCCTTCACTGGCCCTGCGGCCTCAATCGTTGTCTTGATCTTTGCGAGTGCATACCTGAATTCAAGCACTGGCCGTTCACGTTTGGTGAACAAACAGGTATTTATGTTCGCTCTTTTATATTTATTTGCCTATCTTTGCATAAACCAGTTCTCTACCCATTTTTTGGAACTAACGTTTTGACTGTATAGCGAATGAGTCGCATTGTTGAGGTACGTTGTTCTTTGATTCGGCTAATGAAATAAACAGTACCGTACAAACTACGGATCAGCATCGTACTAACGTCGAGGTTCCCATTTCGCTACGCGTTGCTCAGCAATCACATTGACGCTATACAAAACGACCGTAGGATACCCCGTTGAGCTCGGGCTATGGTCGAGCCAGAACAAATCATTTTGGAATTTACACCTACCTATCTAACTACCTAGTCCCTGCTGTCAGTGATTCTAACTACCAACCGTTCAACCTTCGCCGCCTTCTTCGATCTTGAACTCTGATGACTCGTGCGTTCCTTCGTTGAGATCTACCATCTGCATCAGCAAGCTAGCAGCTAGTCACACGA